TATTAACAGCCGAAGCGAAAAAAAAAGTCATTTCTAGAGCCTTTACGCGTAATGGAATGTATGTTTTTCGCACAATTGTAGGCAGCCTCGAAAGGTCTGGAAGCCTGGCAGTACGGGTTCGTATTTTCGGCCTTCAGCTTCGCGGTGCCGCCCGGCGCTCTCCTGGCTCAAAAACTGGTGTGTAAAAACATTCTATTGCGCTGCTATCTGAAAACGTGAGTGAGAATATTTACGTCTGGTTCAGATGTTCAAGATAAGCCAACCCTAATTGAAAAAAGAAATATACATATATATATATATATATATATATATATATATATATATATATATATATATATTATCACTAAGTTTGTTTTTATTTATCCTTTTATTTCATTTATGCGCGTTTCCTCAACGTTTACATCGTTCAATCTTACTAAAAGAAACGGACGCGATGTTGGTTACGAAACGCTAATTATTTAAGTTACCCTGATAGATGTGCCAGCTATTAGAGATGAATCAGGGAGCACGTTGATAACAAATTTTTCCATTCAGTAAGCTCTTACGTGACCGTCCACCCTCCGCCTTGCTCCGGGATTTGCAATATTCATTGCTCGTTATGCCCAAGTTTCATGATTGGAGCTGACATATCAATTGCCCTATTCCTTGCTTAACCTGAAGTAGCGGGTCCCAGATTACGGCATAAATGTGAGGTTCATACCTTGGACTATAATCGATTTATTTTTTTTGGCCTACACTCAGATGCTTGCTGAATTTGAATGTATGTCAACCATACCAACAAATACAACAAAATGGTTTCATCGAAACCAACTGTTCCAGCATCGCTAATTGTTATACAAATCGCAGGTTCAATCTCAGGTGGTCTAAAAAAAGGTAAACTTACACCAGCTCGCCTGCTCCCTAACTTTTTCTTCATGAGAGGAACAATGATCTATTTGCAGTTTCTTGCCACTTTCAAAGTTACTTCAACCTCCAAACCAGGCTACTAATTTAATGAACAAAATGTAACAAATTATTAGAATAAATATTCTTAATCAGCGGGAAACTTGGCGAACACCCTTCTTTTTGACTATTTCTGTGCCATCGTCAAGCGAGTGCTTGTTTCAATGAAAATGTGGAAGACGTCGACACGAACTTTTCGTATGCTTCGACTCAAAGAACTGTCCTCAAAGCGCCTCAAAGAACTGTCGGTGTCCACTATTCTTACCTAATTTAGACGTTCTCTAGTAACTGTACCACCGTTTATGTTTTTTGTCTTTTTTTTTTTCAGATTGCTCGCGGCTGGTCGCGAACTGGCTACCTTGCTGGTCTGGTTTTCCTGATTATCTTCTGTTTTGCGTTTGGGTGAGACCTCCATGACCCGCCATTGCATTTAACTAACGAAAAAGTGAAGCTCACATTTTGGGCATACATACAATAGTAACTGACAATTTAACAAAAAAAAAAAAAAAGCTCAGGGCGTGACGAGTTTCGTGCATTTTATAATTTCGCTGTAACCACTTAGATTAAAACATTAGCCATAATAACGAATTAAAAAGCATAAAAATTGTAAGTTTCCCCCTCGTTTCTTAATCTGTAAGTAACTAAAGCACACCACTGAAAACTTTTAATGCAATGATCATTCTAAAATATTCAATGGGACGTTATTTTTTTTCTTTCAGCAAGAACACTGAAGAAGTGCTTATTTCAGTTTCGTCCATGGCATTAAAACAGTAGCGTCTCAAATCAATCGTGCATTCACTATATACGTTTTAATCTAATGTGTGAGTCGTATACATTGTGTATACCTTTCCCTGAGCCAGAACCTTCTGCCAACTATGGCAGCTTTTAAGGCGTTGCCGTTTGCGCGGACTGCGTTCTCTGTTTATGCTGAACGATGGCAAAACTACGTGAGGTGATAGAAACCCGCATTTAGCGTACATTTCTCCGTCTCTTTGGCTACAATTATTTTGGCGACATGAAATTAAGCGAGTCTGTACAGTTTTTTTACCATTTCTTTGGCAACATGGTGTTACTTTAGCGAAGCTGCAGTACCAAAGCTGTTTCGTCTAGAATACGTATCTTAGCGATTCGATCTTCCCCTTCAGAGCTCTCTACTGGATACCAGAGGGTGGAATGCTCCTTGCGCTGTCAATGTCCTTGATTCTTCTGAAAGGAGTGTTCGCGACTACCTACGATGTTTGTACCTTTGGAATCATCACCTTTGCATTTACGAAAGCGCAGGGACTGTTTATCGTAAGTTGTTTCTCAGTCGCGATTTTGCTAGATTCTTACGCCTCTCACAAACACTATCCGCCACCCGCTACGATAACCACAAACCGTTCCCTGGTGTATCGCTTGTCCCGGCGAAATCGGTGGTCGAGTTTGTTAATGCAGCTCAGCTCCTAACACGTGGAGAAAAGGCTTGAGCTTAAGAGCACATGGAGTTTGCGTGCTGCTCGCTTTGATCTAGACACCTGGCGGGAAAGCCGTCAAGAAATCTGACGGCCGTTATTGGTCAACGCCGCACTCGGACGGTCAATTGTAGCCACCGGATTTCTTGCCGACTTTTCCTCAAAGTGTCCAGATTATGCCCCCTGGGCCTTTAAACTCGTCAAAAACAACGTTCTGGCCGAAGTCGATGAAGCGCACCGATTGGCCTATCACGACGATGAATTCGCGCTTTTTTCGCTGACGTCCAATCGGCCCTCTTCGCGAACTTTCTGTCCCAAATTTGTGTTTGATGAGTTTAGGGCCTCTAATGAGCATCGTACCGATATGCGATCGTGCATCACGACTGCGTAGTGCATATTAAAGCCCCCTCCCCCTTCCCCCGATTAGCAGCTGTACTGCACTGGGTAAACTTTCTCGTCTACAGAGGAGACAGACCCATGAAACTGACTATAACTTCACGCGATATGATCGAACACAAAACACAATTTTTATGGTACAAAGTAGTGCGTTTCTGTGGGCGCTGAAGCAGTTTTGGTAGTGTTACTGACGATTCTAAACTACATTATTAAAAAAATTCAAAAAGCACATTTCAAGTTAATCATGCGAGCTTTCAGTCAATATACCAGCTTTGTGATTAAGAAAGACCAAAAAGGTCTACGATTTTCCTGTCCGAAATAATACGCTAAATATTTCACAAATCTGGTTTCTCTGCCGCTCGAGCCTACTACAGCCAAGTCTATTCTCCCTGTTTGGTCCCGCTTTGCTTGGCCATATTTTCAGTCCGGAAACCCTGCATGTATTTCCCGAAGAAGCAGAGTGTTTCCCAAACTACAAATCGACCTCGGAAAGCGGACCGCGTTTAAAAATGCGACATGACTTTAGCATGACTGAACTTTAATTTGTGTCTATCCTGCCAGGACAATCGTAGGGGGAAAAAAACTGGGTGGGTCTCTCCAATTCTCTTTCGTATTGCGAGGCATCCGCTATGAAGCAGAGCCGCACTCCTCTCCGCCCCTTTCAAAGTAGTACGCCATCTATATGATGCGCCAATCATCGGAGTCCCTCATTGTTGGCGCACGTCTTCTGAGCATGTATTAGAGACGAGTGCTCTGTCCGCGATCGGCGAGGACTCGAATCTAATCACACGCTTCATTCTCAAGAAATGGCTACCGCCAATGTTACTTGATGGACTTTTGAAAACGGTCTAATCTGAAGAAATTACTCTCGAACTTAGCAAAGACTACGGTCGTGATGCGCGTGCGCCGTAGCGCCGTCTTCTTGCGCATATCAAAGTGGATATGCAAATACTATCTACGATTTCAATAACTCTCTATTATCGCTAATCCATTTCAAGCCTTGTTCTTCGAACCCTTGCATTGCCTTCAGTGCCTCCAAAAGATCAAACTCGTCGTAGGAGTGTTTTGACAGCGGTAAGTTTGTATGCCTCGTGGGACACCTGATTAATCTACGGTAAAAGAGAAATTTAGCCCGTGTATTACGACAGACAGCCTCGAGGTATTTAACGTGTATTAGGCTGTAGTGATTGCAGGAACACACGTCGGTACATGCTCAACCATAATGAGTGGGCAGGGGCCGGTGTAGAATGTGGGGCCCTTGGTTCCTGCGGAGCGTTCGCGTTAGGTTCAGCCTTTAAAGGCATGGCGGTAGTGTGAAAACTTTCTCACTATGTGTTTATCTTACAATAAATATGTGGGGCCCTCTGTTTGGAGCAACCGAGCAAACACATAAACGCCTACATATTCCATGCACCTATGAACAACACTTAAGGGGAAAAGAAATCCAGTCCTGGATAGGGCTAAGAAATTAATCGATTAATACATTGATTTCAGGCCAAACTTTTTAACATGTATTAATTGGCAAAAAGCAAATTAGTGGAGTTGTCACGGGCAAAATCTACATCACTGCCTAACTCAACATCAAGATTCCTAGCCTGGCCAGAATTCATCTCCGTGATGCCATTATATCAATATACACCACTGAATTACCGATGCCCTTGAACTCAAAGAAGATAAACAGAACTTGTCGAAACAATCTACTATATTGATTGCTTAACTTCTTGATTTAAGATATCTATTAAAGCGGTGTTTCGTTTTGTATTGTGCTACGGTAGTGCACAATATTTATTATGGTTGAGTCTTAAGTTATAATTCAATTAAACACATATTTCTCCGTAAACCAACGCAGTGCTTTGTAACCAACAATCTGATGTCAATAAAAAGGTGCATGCATTTATTGCCTTTTTCTCATCTGCTTCTGCCATCAGCCAACAGCAATGGATTTTATGTAAAAAGCAGATTATATGAAACGAAATATTTTTCAAAACTTACTCTGTTGGTAAATGGTTATCAGCTCTTTCAAATCTCAGCCATGTTCTATGTTTCAAAACTTAATAAATTATATCAGCCTTCACATCAGAAAAACTTCACCAATTCAATAATCAATTATAAATCGTCGATGAAACGGATAATAATCCTAAATTTTGGCACAACCCCTACTTTTTTTAAAGTTTTACAGTGGTTTCATTCTCTTTTATTTCCTAGGCTATGTTACACTGCATTCTCCAGATTGGTAAAGTGAGCGGTTCGTCCCTCGGTGGAATTCTCATCGATGTGAGTAGCGAACGAAACTATCTGGGACTGGTTCTATAGTGAGTTGTTAATTATGCTGCTCGTTTCACGGCCAGGCTTGGGCTTTTCCGGCTCCATTCTACGCCATGGGAATTGCCTTTGCGTTGGCCATTCCTCCAATGGTAATGCTCAATCCCGACAAACTTGGAAAGGAAGGTAAGTTTTGAGGTGCTTTAAAAACACTCTCTGTAATCTAAAAAAACGCTTTTTTTGTCATTTGCAGGTGACTGCACCTTTCAGTTAGCCATATCAAATTCTAGAAATGTGCATTCGATTTCGCAAGAAGAACATTTGGAAACTTTCTTAAATTCTCCTTAAGACACGAGTCACTGCAAACATTTTATAATCACAGTGCCCTTGAACTAAAATTGTATGCTGCTTGCAGTATAAATTATTGCTTACATTACGATCACCACACTAATAGAACTTGTTTTATATAAAACATATGTATCAACTTGTGTTTACATTTGAATGGTCATATTCTTCCTTCGAGTGTCCAATGTCCACTGTTCTTTTCCTAATCAATGCGATCACCTCAAACTAACATGTCATTACAACGAAAGAGTGTTCTGATATTCCGCGGTGCGTTGAAATCTTCTATGTAAATGGTATACACTAGACCAGTGGTTCTCAACTACCGATGTTTCGGGGACCCCTTGTGGATCGGCAGGGATGATGGAGGACCCCGTTCGTGGTGAGAAGGGAAAGGTATAGGTCAATTATGATAAAGATTTAATAGATGTACACAACTAAGAATTAGTGTGAAGTAGACATGCCTTATTGATATACACACGAGAAAACTCACCCGAAACTTTGAACGTTTTTTCTCAATATGAAAAAAGGCAACTTTTTTTATTGGACTTATTGCCTGATGAGAGAGGGTTTCGCAGAGCCCAAAGGGTCCACGAAACCCCATTTGAGAACCACTGCACGAGACATATAGATATTAGCGAAGTTTAAAATAACACCACTCATAAATGAACCTGATACTCCATTGTTATGGAGGAACTTACCGAAGTCGAGAACGACAGATTATAATATATATATATATATATATATATATATATATATATATATATATATATATATATATATATATATATATATATATGTATATATATATATATATATATATATATCTGGTGTGGATAATCATAGCTTCCTATTTATGAAAAATCCTGCCCCTTCCGTGCCAAAACAATGCACCGCTAGGTCGTGGTAAAAGAGGGAGAATAAGTGGAGTGAAGGAAACACTGTGAAAATAGCGTAATTTGGGTATCCTGGCAAGGATGCCAGGATACCCAAAAGGATACCCTACCACTCATTTTGATGTTTCTTTTTTGCTATTTGCTGGGAAAAAAAGAACAACCGACTTTTTATATCTTTTTTCCTCCGAGTTCCCTTCCTCTCCTAAAAAAGTGGAAGAGACGTGCGTTTTCTTTTGTATTTTTGTTTTCGCAAGCTTTTAAATAAAAAAAAAAGAGTGGAGAGCTTCGGAAAGTGCTCGTTGATGCGTGAGGATGCTACCATTCAACTCTCGTGTTCTGTCATTCTGTCTATCAAAGTTTTGACGGCCGGTTCTGACGCTGAAGCCTCAGGCCTTTCCCCTAAAAAAAAAAAAGCTAAAGATTGGCATATATGTGAAAACAACTAAAGGAGCTATATGAAACTGGTTGCAAAAACCTTCAAAAGCAACCTCCTGGAGCTAAACTTCTAAGAGAAACGTCAGCCACCACAAGGTGTTGATCAAAATCTCATACGTGTTTCTCAAAATCTCAAAATCAAAAAGTTAACAATGTTTTCTTTAAAATAGACGTCAATTTGATGCTAGTTACCTCAATGCATATCTACGCGTGTTTTAATTCCAGAAGCCGCGACAGCCACAACACCACCCCGTTTGCCTGAGAACGAATGGAGCTACTACCGGCTTCTTCGGCATCCCATGTTTGCCATCAACCTTCTCACTGCCATAATTCTGTCTCTCCTTGCTAACTTCGACGGCCCAACTTTGGAACCCTATTTGAGTCAAGTACGGGGATCGTGACACTTTTTTCCTGATAACCTTCCAACAGTGTGCGGTCAGTGATTGTCGGTTTTCAAGGCAGTATTTAACAGTAACTCTCGGAGACGACACAAACAGTCCCGAGTACGCCTTAAATGACAGGTGACGTATGCCGCGAACTCAAGACCGCCCCTGAGAGCAGAGATAAAATCCGATCTGCAAAATGTACAATGAATGCGTTCAAATTGCATGAATATTCTGTGATTAAATGTGTATGCGAGTGGCAAGGGCCGAGGCGTTAATGGTTAGGATAGGCTTTATTAGCACATCTATTCGTTGTGTAACTCAAAATCCGTTGCCTTAAAGGTGGCATACGAAGCAACAAATTACACTGTTTATCTGTGGTGTTCAAGAATTCGAAAGGTGTTTTGTTTCTTTCTTTGTTTTAGTTTAACTTGACCAACGCTGAAATCGGAACGGTCTTCACCGCTAACTACGTGGCCAATTGTGGAGGTTCCCTCTTCGCGGGAGTAATTTCATCGTACAAGGTAATAACTCAGCATATCGACTAAAATGTGCTCTTAATAATAAAAAAGGCTCTTCCGGCCAACGTTTCTTTTGTTAAATTCGTACGCCAGTTGCTGTGTCTGCAGAAAGTTTAACAATACAGTTTATTTCGTAATGACGTGATCCGAAGACTGAGGAACACGGAGTGGAAGTTTGAAATGTGCTCGCCTGAAGAAAACAAAAGCTTAGGAAGGGGAAGTTGTCGGCATGAACTGATTAGGACTGCGCAGCAACGGACGTTCGGCTACGTGTTTTGGCGGGTAAGCACAGCGGCCGAAACCTATGCGGAGAGCAAGTCGTCTGCTACTTGCTCCGGAGTTCCGGTGACGTCAGAATAAAGCCAACCTTTGACTAACTTCGATTAAAAGGATAGTGTGTAGACCTCAATGGCGGGATGCCTTAAGGTCTACCCACTATCTTTCTTTTTTTTATTTCAATCAGCCAATAACAGCTTGGCGTTCTTACATCACCGCAAGCCCTGTGCAAGAAGCCGGCGTACTTGCGCTTCGCATTGTACACTCTGAAGAAAAAAAGGGTATATTTTACACTCCTCGTCACATATACGAAACCCCAAAACTTCAGTTGGCTGTATACGCGCACTGGCGTTGAACCGAAGCTACCAAATTTCACGAGCGGCTTGATAGCCGAGTTGTTCAACTTATTAAAATAGCTAATGTAAGTATGACTGACTGCAAAAAAGTTATTAGAATTTTCTTGGCGCATGCGCAAAACCTCAGTTTTCTCGTTGTTTTTTTTTCCCGTAGACTTTGATACGTACTTTAGCTGTTTAATATGTTATATCGCACCGGTCATCAACCCTCCGCCAAAAGTTGGGCAGTCAGTTCGACGTCAGCGCGCTGTGCGTCGAACTGAAGTTTTGGGGTGTCGTATAGACCGACACGCTGTTTACAAACAAGCCCGCGCTTGCCCACACAAGTTCTCGGCACTGCGCATTCGCAGAAACCAAATTCTAGTGGACTGAAGCGCCTGCGCATGCGCAGTGCCGTCGACAGCGCCACCGCAGTTGCGCAACGTCAGGGACGCGTGTTGGTCTATATGTGACAAGAGGTGTCAGAATATACTCCTTTTTTTAGGGTGTAGGGGCGTGCGAATTCTGCTTTGAATCGAATGCGCCGAGAAAAGGAGGGAGAGGAGGAGACGAGAGCGCGCGGGGGCATCATAACCCCGGGCTCGGATTCGAGCAATTAGTGGGTAGGCTCGAAAGAGCAGTTTTGTCTGCACTGCACTCGTCGAACGCGGAAAGCGTTCGACGAGTGTTTTCGCAGTCGAACGCGTTTGTTTAGTGCCGTGGAGAGAAAGGCAGACAGCTTTATGTCTACCCACCAATCGTTCGAATCAGAGCTCGGCGTGTTGACATCCCCGCGCGCTCTTGAATTCTCACTTTCTCGGCGCATGGCACAGCGTCGTCCCTCTAGCTTTAAAGTTGCAGAGAGAGAGAGCCGGATGGGGGCGTCGCGGGGTTTCTCTGACACCGTGAAGGCTACGAATGCCGCAGCATTTTTTCAAACGGAACCACTATTCGCGCACTGCTACTATTTTGCCTTCCGAGTGTTCTCGTTTTCCAAGTTTCCGGGAAGGACGCAGGAGGGTTCTACATTTGACGTCTAATTGGGCTAATATAACTACTAGACTCTGTTTTACTATGAGTTAGACCGCAGCTTATGCTACGATCCAAAAGAGCCAATCAAGCAGCGCCAAAAGTGCATCGTCACGGTGCTCCTCGCCTTTCTGCATTTATTATCACCCGACTAAGCACAATCACGCGCAATGAATTCGCCGCGATCCTGCCCTTTTTATCTAATCCGTGATTCGTTTAGCCAATGATATAGCTAACTCACAAGGACCACGAGTGACGATCCACATTTAGCGCTCGTCCCGTAGATTGCGGTGTCGGACTTAAAGTAAAACGGACTATATAGTGAACATTCAGCAGCGTTTGAGACTCTGTGTGGGTGGGTAGGTGTTCTTTTTTCTCCGTGGTTCTTAGTTTCCGGTCAATTATCGCTATAAATAATTTCATCTTCATTTTGTTTACAGTATGAATACACTAATATTTATATTGTATATCCAGACTTGACAGGTTCAAAAAGTTTCTAAAACAATTTTTGGTGTATGTGTTTTTTTCATACTAATAACACCTGCTCTTCAAATTTGTAGGTGGAAAAACTCTCCATATTCGTGGGATGTATTTTATCTACTCTGTCCTACGTTATCATCGGGCCTGCTCCCTTCCTACCCCACGAACCGTGAGTGTTAAACCTTAAACAGACACAGAAGAACCAACTGTATATGACGTAAAACCTTTTTTTTTTTTTTACAATGGTCTAATGAATTTGTTTTGGATTCTCACAATCCAAGTCAAAGTTGTTATTTTTACAGGAATGTTTCCAAAATGCAGAGTGCATTCAGGCTTCAGGCAGGAAGTTTTTGAAAAAACTTTGAAGGGCCCCATTGCTATGTTAGAAGGGAGTAAGCAACGAGGTCAAAAACCAAATGAAACAAAATGTGCAACCGTGCGAAAGGGAAAGAGATAAGAATGTGGTGTGCATCCCATATGTCAAAGGAGTCTCCGAACCTCTCAGTCGCGCTTTGAGGCCCCTTGGCATTCAAACTGCTTTCAAGCCATACAGAACTATTGGAAAGTCCGTTTCCAAACCAAAGGACCCAAACCCGGCGAACGTCCAGAGAGGAGTTATCCACAAGATCCTCTGCAGTGACTGCCCAGCGTCCTACATTGGTGAGGGTGGTTATCATTTGAGCCCGTTCTCGTTTCGACCTTCTCACTTGGCCCTTCTAAAAACAACCATTCTCAAAAAGATCTTCTCTCTTGGACCTGTCGCATTTGGTCCTCTCCCGTTTCGTCTTTCGCATTCCAACTCTCCTCATTTGGGCCCGTTCTCGTTTCGCCCTTCTCACCTGGCCCTTTTCAAAACATCCATTTTCAAGAATATCTCGCTTTGACCCCTTCGCACTTGACTCTTTCTATACCAAAATCGTTTTTTTTTTAGGGTAATATTAATACATTGATATAATTTGTGTGTGTGCGTGTGTGCCACACTACAGGCATACTCTATCTGCTAAGGATTTCAGCAGTGCGTCGAGGTCGTCGTGAGAAGCTACTAGCTGACAGTAAAACAGACCAACTATTTATCGCAGCCAAATCATAATCCGAAATGTCACCTTGTTTGAGGTCTCATCAGTCAGGCACGGCCATATTTGTGGTCTTTCTTCACGTTGAGAAGAGACGTTCCAATTTTCGGGAGAGTACTCTCGTGTGTATGTCAATGACATAACTCTACTTTACACTAGCAATTAGTTATGTGCATTTATTAAATCATTATCATGATAACCTCTACCTTTTTATTCCCCTCACCCCGAACGGGGTCCTCCATCATCTCCGCCTTTCTAAAGGGGTCCGCGAAACATCAATGGTTGAGAACCACTGCTATTATGTACGCTGTTTCTGTTCAAACAAAGTTTCCAAATTAAATGTTCATCGCTTTTTTTCTCTCGTTTGCTTAGAGGAAGGGAAGCAGGCGTCAATATACGATTCTCAGTGTGTACTTCTACACATAACATATATCTGATGGTATGTTGTGGGTCCAAGCAAGGTAAGGCTCATCCACTAAGCCGGGAAGGCATAACGACGTTAGAAGCATGCCGAACTAGTGCCATTCGGTCGTAGCGCGAACGAACGAAATGAGAATGGGTCCAGTTGCGCAAAACACGATTTGGACCTTATGAGAAGGTTCAAACGAGAAGGACCAAATGAGAATGCGCCGAAATGTACAAGGTTCAAATGCGAATGGGACGTTTTGAGATACACCCCATTGGTGAAACCGGACGGAGGAGAGATACGGAGCGTGGAGCGAAAGCTTGCGCTGGGAACCTACTGGGTTCGATCTCCGCCGCCCCCGCCCGTTTCGATCTGGATGAGTTTCGTACCGGCACGCGTTCGTGTGATCACTACTGCGTGATGCACGTTAAAAAATCCAGGTTAGCGGTTGTACCGCACTGGCTAAATTTCTCATCTGCAGCTAAGAGACCGATTACCCGTTGAGGCGCATCTCCATCAAGGCTGTATAAACATAAAGAGCAAACTAATTTTTTTAACCTTCCATTTGCTTTGTAACTACTGAAGATGCCTCTCGCATGTGAGGCGAAACGTCTAAGGAAATTGTTTTATCTGTTATGTCAAGTCGGTGCTCTTATTTTAATTATGACGTCTCCCGGCTTTTGGAGTATTTTTGCATTAATACGAAAAGTATGGAAACCTAAATTATTTGAAAAGTAAAAAACCGACGTGCATAGTATGTGTAAATTTAGTCTGTACACATAATCAGCAGGTTGTAGAAAGACTTCTTAACTCATTACCTTAGACCGGTTACCAAAATCTAAAAACAAAGAAATTGATACATGTATATGCTGTCAACGGCAGGTGGATTAAGGTCGGAGTGCAAGCCATGTTGTGAGACGTTTATACAACAAAAGTCCCCGTTTTCTGAGTTTTAATTACTGACCAACTAGAGCATTAAAGAAATTTGCTATACAAAACTTATAAACAGGGCCATAAAATACCGGCCTTCGAAAATGATTTCTAACTTGATACTCCGAATTGCAATTATTCTTTGGAATCCCTGACCGGGCGGAGTGCTAATAGGGATGTTAACGGATGAACGCATTTGCCTATTGTTTCCTCTTTTCAATTCAGCACACTGATGTTTGTTTACGTTGCCCAAGTAATCAAGGGAATCGGAGCGTCTGCCATGGAAGTGTGTGTTTACACTGGCGTCTTGAGGTATATCGTGTAAGGACAGATTTCAGTTTCTCATTCCTGAAATTAGCTGCCTGACATGGGCACTAAATCCTTGTGTCCAAGTTCAGAATTCCGATTTCGCGTGCATTTGTTTTACTATAGAGAGATTGCTGGATATCCAAATACGATTCAAACAAACGGATTTGTAGCCAGCATCGTCCACCAATCTACAATCATCACGTGAGTCAAATGTTTAATATTATGCTAAACGTACCAGTACAGCATTGATGCAGCGTTGGCGTTAACAGTCTATACGTTTGTACAAGCGCGGTGGTCGCAAATATTACGCATATCGTCCTTGATTCTCAGTCCAATTGCTCTCCAGCTTGCCAGACGAAAACAAAAACTGTGCTTTTCGCACGCAAAAAAAAAAAAATTTACGCATCGTCGAAACCTATTTCCACACCACACTCCGCGAGAATGTGTGTGGTGTTAGTGGGAGGAATCAGTTTCCACGGTTCAAAAACTAACGGTAACCAGAGTAAACCAAGGTACACTCTAATAAAAGGGTATAAAAGGGTGTATCGTTACATTCTTTGTCCCATATTATACACCCCGAAATTTCATTTCGACGTACAGCGCCCCATAGTCGAACAGACGGCCCCAAATTTTACGCGGGGCTTGATGACGGTGCGATATAACTTTTTAAATCGCTAAAGTACGTATCAAAGACCACATAAAGAAAACATCGAGTTTTTACAGTAGAGCCAAGAAAACCCCAATTATGTTTTTTGTTTTTTTTTTGTAACCAGTACAACGTACATTAGCTATTTTAATAGGTTGTACCACACGGCTATCAAGCCCTTCGTAAAATTTGGGGCCGTCTCTTTCACTGTGGGGCGCTGTACGTCGATTTGAAGTTTTGGGGTGCATTATATGGGACAAAGGGTGTAGCGATACATCCTTTTACAGCTTTTTTTTTAGAGTGTAAAAAACGAAAAAGGTATTTGTTTATGAGAGGACGCCATATGGCAGCAGATGCTGCAGAGTCCGTCTGTTATCCGCTGCATCTAACACAGTATGCCACTGTCGATGGGAAAAAGACGTCAATTCAGATTACGCGTGTGTTCATGTCTGCTTGTTAATGCAAAACAAACGAAGGCTCACTTTAAAATAATCCTTTCTGCATTTATCCTGAGACGTAAGCCTGAATGAATAAACACCTATACGTACTTCGGAGAAACGCGTGGCTACCCTTCGTCCCTGCGTATTTATTAGTTTTGCCCCTGCTGTATTCATTACCAACCTGCGTTGTCCATTTGACCTCAGACGAGGTCAGTGCGACGAAATAAAAAAAAAAAAAGACTGAAAGCTCACAGAAAGGGGTTTTTGATTGAGACGTTTCTGTGCAGGAATATTGCAATACCGCCGAGTGCAGGCTACCTTGCATCCACGTATGGCTACAGAAACGGAACTATGTTTATTTTCGCTATTCTCTCCATCTGGGTAAGAAACGATTTGCTGCACGCACAAGTTTTGTGACGAAGATACCATGCTTGATGTTCGAAGCTCGGTTAATTTAAAGCGACTAGGCAGTCACACGAGACGGAGAAACAAAATGTACACTAGCGCTATTATGCTGACAAAGACCGGGGCACAGGGAATATATTGCGCTACCATATGCACGAAGGGGGTGGTAGCTCAACTTCGACCCACACGCAAAATTTAGCAATAAAATGTACCGGCTAAATTTAGCTGGGAATCGGAATTTCTTTGCATTAAGACATCACAGTGTCGCGTGGCGATGTCACATGACATTCCAATTTTCTCGCTAAATTTAGCAAAGCAATTTCTATCCAAAGTTGAGCGGAGATATGTTTTTGCTAAATTTAGAAAAGTTCAGTGAGAAAAAACTTAGGGCGCAGGCGAGCTGGGGTAGGTTTACCATTTTCTTGACAACCTGAGACTGGCTGGAAGAAGCAAGACGACGTCTCAAACACAGCTAACCACTTTATTCGGTGCTCCCTCCATTTATACATCCTGAACCCAAAATCGCCACCAGAAAGAACACACTCCACACAATGCCACCAAGTAGACACGCCGTGACTTCGCAGCTACGCTTGTCTTCACAATAAAAAAAAAAAAAAAAAAAAAAAAAAAAACGAACCACCCGGAGCCAGTAAGAGGTACACACATCAAAACATCGGCCCAAGGGAACATGCTTTAACCTCGCATGTGTTTTTTTTTTTGTTTTTTTTTTAACTTTTTGTTGTTTTTTGTGTAGACAAGCGTCACTGCGAGGTCAAGGCGTGTCCTCTTGGTGCCATTGTGTGGGGTGTGTTCTTTCTGGTGACGATTTTGGGTTCAGGATGTATAAAAGGAGGAAGCACTGAATAAAGTAGTTAGCTGTGTTTGAGACGTCAACTTGTTTCTTCCACCCAGTCTCAGGTGGTAAAAAAATGAAGAAATTCAGTGTCACGTGACGTCATGACGCTAAGGGCTTTCACCGTGTCACACGAATGGCGTCCGCTAAACTTAGCTGGATGTAAGTCGGCTAAATTTGAACAATGCAGTGTAACTGTGTGCAGCGCCGCGTGGTGTATCGGCTACCGCCCATTTCCATGACGCGGCAAAGAGCTGTGAAAGTTTTGGACAACAAATATACACCGAGCTACACCTTTTATTTTACATTGGCATTGAAATATGTAGTTTACTTCACAGTGTGATTCTGAATGAACGAGCTATTCTTATCTTCTTTTCAGACAATAGTTACTGGTTTTGTCTGGCTGAAGTCCGAGTGTCGCCGATTTGGTACAGATCGAACGCAATACAATGTCCTGCCTCAAGACGATCTCGGACACTATAGCTTCGCAGCTCCAAACTCTGTGTGCGTGCCATTAGAACCAGAAAATGCCTAAGGCAAATGCTTCTTCAGCGAAACGCGTTGCCTGACTATGAGTAGCTGAGACCCCGAAGGGCGAAGAAATCCTTGAGGAAGTCGTGGCGCAGACCAAGTCGGCGATCCGGAGTGGCCAACCTTTGATGCGACATCGGGAAATCTATCTGCAATTCTGTACAGGGGGAACAGCGCACCCGAGATTTTCCCTTGTTAACAAAGCTGCCATTCATTCCATCGAATCCTACAGCACTACTTGGGGCCCGCTGACTGCATTTGCGTTGTACATATGCATGTATATAGTATATTGTATAGTAAATAGTGTCTTTTTTTATCTATAACATTGTGCTAAGCTTTTCTGCGTCTCATCTGAGGAGCATTTGTTTCTCTTCAACTTATAAGTTGGTTCTTCTTTAAACTAAAGGAAAAAGATAACCTGTATTGCATTCATGTTTCTGGTGCCAAGGTGCTGAATAAGACCCGTGTTCAAGTCGCTCGAGACTGTGACGTTGTAGCAGTTCAAGTGAAGTAATACACGCTCCTAAAATGGGTCTGCAAGTTCGGTTTCCTGCAAACATTGGGGCAATGAATCTCGACGTACAGTGTGAGGATCGCAGTGGACGTCAAAGCCCATAATACGATTATTCGAGGTAGGTGGAGAGGGAAAGGGGGAGAGGAGAAAGGAAATGGGGAAAGCGAGGGGGAGGGAGGAGGGGGATGGGGAGTAGGATTTGGTGTGTCAAGTCACGTATGTTTCCCCGCTTAATTTAACGGACAAACTAGATTGTTGCATAGGTCACATGAAAACAGGTCACGTGATGTCGTTTTCTCCCGCTACATTTAGCGGAGAACCTGGATTTGTGTTAGAGTCCCCTGACGTCAACTTTCCCGCTATATCTAGTGGAGAAACTGAGTTGTTGTTTAGGTCAGAAGATCTAAAATTTCCCGCTAAATTTACCGGCGAAACTTAATTGACTTATAATTCGTTACGTCAAGCTTTCTACTTCGTATATATGTCACATGAAAATCATGTTACATGGCGTGACGTTTCTTTCCGCGCTAAATTTAGTGGAAAATGCACGGACGGACAAAACTTTGGGATTGGAGAGGAATGAGATAGCGTTTAGAGAGCTCGTGTCGCAGAAAATCCGGCGTCGGCGTCGTCGTCGGTGGGACCAAAAATCCCATAATGCAACGCGCGCAGCAGCGTGTGTCACACGTGCTGCGTTGCATTATGGCATTTACCGGCTAAATTTGGCGGGAAAATAATCCCGCCAAATCAAGCGGAAAATAATCCCGCCAAATTTAGCTGAAAACTTAACGGACAAATTTAGCGGAAACTTTTCCCGCAAAATCTAGTGGAAGCTTTTCCCGCCAAACTTAGCTGTAAACTTTCCCGGCACATTTAGCGGAACATTTTCAGGCCAAATTGAGCGGGAAATTTTCCCGCAAAATATAGCGAAAAATTTTCCAGCCATAAATAGCGAAAATTGACCCGCAAAATCTACCGGAAAATTGTACCGCCAAATTTAGCCGGTCGATAGGGTCTTGACGTCACAGTCATGTGTGACCTCACTTGACATCTGACGATAACGACAAGGCCACGCACACACGCTACCACGGCTTGGCAACGAGAACGCGTTTATATGAGAAGGCTTTGCGAACGGGATACGACAACACTATCGCGTTCCAGTCTTAAAGGCGAAGCTTCAGCGTCTCCTAAGTTTGACATGCTTTAGTAAAAAAAATCTGACTTCAATAGAACCCTTTTCAAACTTCACACGCCATCTAGTGGCTGCTGCGCAAATTATTCGAGTCCGCCATTGTTTGGGCACGTATTAGATACGAGCGCTGCGGCTGCGTTCGATGAGGACTCGGATCCAATGACCTCGCTTCATGTCCGAAACATTGCGACCGCCAGTGTTGCTTGACGAACTTTTAAGTCCCATCAGAGCTCTTCAATGTACGTGCAGTTCCGCTTGCTCCTAAGAACACAATACCATATATAATGTCCCAGTGATGTTCAAGTAAAAATTAAAAGCTGATGGGAGAAACTGAAATTATAGGCTGAATAAAAAAAGCCTTTCTTGCAAAGCAACCCACTCAAAATGTTTTGTGTTGTGTTGTCAAAGGAAAATTCGGTACATTGCCAAGCCTTAAAATATTCGTCTTTGAATTATCGGAAACCAGTCAGCTTGTTTCTCTTGCATCGGATAGCCAAAAACAAGATTAGTTTATTATTACCGAACATGTTCACACCTTTCAAAGGAGCGCAGTTCATGAATATTGTTGTTGTTTTATCCTCCCTCTCGCAGTATGTGATTCTAAAGTCAACCTTAGTCGGAACTACATTAAAATGCTAAAACAACGTTCTAGTAAACATGCTCCTTTGTTTGTTTGTTGATGTTGTTTCTTTCTATGTAACATTCCTGATATTTCTATAAGTTATTTGTTGTGATTTCTGCTGTATTTCGCTTTCAATTTTCTTTTTATATTGCATCCGAATATTTAACTTTTATTTTAGACCCAAAGGTCTGTGCTTCCAATCAGTGTTGCGGAATCGGCACCCCCATTCCATTCCAATTCCATTCCGGGGAATTAGAGTTTTCGATAATTCAATTCCTTTCAATTCCTAGGAATGGAGACACTGAGCCCATTCCCACTCCTGGAATGGCTAAATCGTTCCATTCCATTCCTTTAATTCCTAAACGTAAAAATTGGCACTTGACAGCTACATTTTGTTGCCGGCATAAGCAGCATAAAGCTGACATTATCAAATGCAAAGACAATTGCAAAAAAAAAAAAAAAAAGATCTAAATTTCTAAGAAAAGCACTAATTTTTACTAAGCGGACCGCTGGTGGCAGAATGTGTTTATTTACAATGTACTGCAAACATCGAGAAAGCCCCTTGATATGTCAATGCTTTTTTAAGACATCGGTCTCGCGACCACGTCGCTCGCAACAAACAGCAAAACTTAAATGCACTCATTTTCTTTTCTTTTTTTAACTTTTTTTTGCGTTTGACTTTTAAGACCTACGCGGCCAGCGTGTTTGTTTGATAAAACCATAAAAAATATCCAGTTCGTGCGTGGCGCAGGAATAAGCTACATTACTGTATTCTTCAAATACAGCAACACGGCTAGTACACTGCTGGGAGCGACTCCATGCACAGCGGCAGAACACATCCTCTGACAAAATGCAACCTCTGCGGTGCAGCACGAGGGACCGTATAGACCATGTCACGAAACCTGTTTTAAAACGCACAAGTTCACGCTTGCTTTACGAATCTCGATATTTCTTATCATATCCAATTCAATTTTTGGCTGGTTCGCCTGCCCTTTTCCACCCTTCGCATACTCATTCTCGTGTTTCCTCTTCAGACGGCGAATAAAGTTCGATGATATACGCCGACTGCACCGTGTATAGTTTCGTTGCACAACTTTCAGCGTGCAGCTTGTTTATTTTCTTCGCCACTAATGTAGAAAAATGTCTTCTACGATGCCATGACTCAATCTGTATTTATCTTGTCTTCTCGTCCGAATTGTGATGTTTCTCTTCGCGCTGATTGAGTGGCGGGTTCAGGCAGCAGACGGTATCAACCGATTCATTCTTCTACCTCGGTGTCGGTTGTTCGCGTAGTGGCGACGGGTCGGGAAGTCAGCGTTGACAAAGCTCTTTACATCAAGATACAATTAACGGGGTAATACCGCACCGTCCGAATTGACATTCCCCGTGTTTCCTCATTAACACCGTCCAACTGACTTCTCGCCGCCTCAAATAGGGTCCAGTACAAGGAGCACGAATGCAGACCGGACAGCCGAGACGTGCGGAAGCCAAAACCACAGTGGCAGCTAGCACCCAGCTCTCCTTCTCAGTTGCCCACACTGCAACGGTCGCACCTCGTCTGGCGCGGGACGGTCTTTCTGCAGGTCTAGTCAGTTCGGTCACACCAAGAGCGGCGACGATAGTCTACTTTACCTTACGATGGACCTCAACAGACAGCACGAGAGCCATCGAAACCAATCCAGTGCTTTCTGAGTGCTGCGTCACCCTGCAGTCCCGCTCACGGTACTGGATTGCCTAGGGTGACTTGTAGCGTCCGCAGCGGTCCATCGCAAGGTGAAACAAAGTAGGCAGAGACTAAAGTCAAGAGAAATGAGCGGGAATCCGCTAGCTTGCTTGTTACCCCAACCCACTAAAATATAATACACAGAAAACAAGCATCGGAACAAAGACCAAGTAATAGGCGGACATACAATACAAATGCAGTACAAAAAAAACAAGCCTCGGAGCAAAGCGCAAGAGGAGAAGAGGGAAGTGAATCTCGCTTTGTTTTAATGCCGAAGCAAACCCACATTTCGCACTTCAAAGGAGTGCGCACGAATGAACATGGAAGGCAGCAGGGTTGGCTGCCTGCTAAACAACGCGCCTCGAACTATAAGAAAACAATACCTGATCATCTTTGGACGGCGCCCAAGTCAACGAGTTATCAGAGCTCTGCGAGTTATGAGTCGCTTCCGCTCCCCAGATCTCAGTCTGTGCGCGCGCGTGCATTCTACAAACTGTCGCAACAACAACAAAAAAAGCACGACAAGAAGTACGATGAGGAGTGGTGCATGGCGGTTTCTTTCTTTGCTGCTCCCTTTTCTTTTGCTTGGTGCTTGGTGTCTTGTTTCGCTCTCGTGTAATGCCATCGAAGCCCAACGCCCGCGTGTGCGTGAAAGGCGCCACGTTACCCCCCTTTCCCCCTTTGCTCTTTGCATTGACGCTTGTTTTTTTTTTTTTTTTTTTTTGCATTTTGTTGGCGTTTAAGTCTGTTAGGGCTCCTCGCGGGCTAGCAGCTTCCCGCTCATTTTATTTCTGAGCAACTGACTCACTGACTGGCTCAGTTTAGCTGACCGTAAACACTAAAAAAAAAAAAAAAGGAGAACCGTGGCCATTCCATTCCGGGCAAAAGGCACCTAATTCCATTCCCATTCCATTCGCTTCAACGTTGCCGCCATTCCATTCCCATTCCATTCC